TAAACCTTAAGACTAGGCTTAAGATCTTGCTTCCACTTTGCACTCAGATGATAGCTTTGATGCTTCTACCAGGGATTATTAATGCAAAAAAAGAGGGGGGGGGATACTTAATGTCTCTACTGAAAGATCTGGATTTTTCACACTTGTTTACCAAGCAAAATTTAAGAAGTTGCTACAGTATTAACCTTTCAAGTGGTAAACAGCTCAAGGCCAATCTCTCCCACTGTGATCTTAGTCAGTCCTTTAGCTCTTCAAGGGAGGTCTTTCTGAAGATGCACCTCTTCTGAGAGACCTGGTACACAGCAGATGGTATGTAGTACTTCTCTTGTAGAGCTTTTTTGTGGAATTGTGTTGGGCCCTCACTCTCTCGGTGTTCAGAAAAAGAACATTTGTAAAGATACAACTCTTTCTCCATGTGTTAAAACATTAAACTGATACTAATGAAATATAAAGTTAACTATATTAATATTAATATTTTAAGCTTTTAACATTTTATACTTTGTTTTCATTTTGTTAGCTGCTTTGAGAATTCCCTAGAACGGACAAGAAATAAAAGAACCACATTCTCAATAATAACTGAATTAGCAACTGCGGTTTAATCCTATTTCCTAATCAGGATCTGATACTAATCACTTATTCCTGTTATGATCCATCAAGTCAACTCTGATTCCTGATGACAAGCCCCTGCACTTTTCTTGGCAGCATTTTCAAAAGTGACTTGCTAGTACTTTCTTCTAGGACTGAAAATCACCAGGCTATGCCTAGGGCAGAATTAGAATTCACAGTCTCACAGCTTCTAATCCAGTACTTTTACCTACCAGATGAAATTGGCTCTGTATCAGTGTATCACAGAAAATGAAAGGCACTTGTCACTGGTTCTGCCAACTGATAAAGAACAGCAGCTGTGGCTAAAAAAGAAACACTGCCCCTCCAGCAGAAAAAGAACCGCACATTTGATCCCCTTAGGATGAGTGTAACTTGGTTAAAACGCTAACCATCTATTCCTAGATTAGTCACTACTATAATCCCTAAACCATCTTGTATGTATCAAGACTACATCCGGCCTACGACTTCTTTCCTACTACTTTCTGAGAATATCAGTGCACTTAATAGCACTGCATTCTTGTCCCCAGGCTTTGATGAAAATGGAATTGTCTTTAAGACAATTGGAGCAGTATAGTTGTGGTGGAAGATAACTAAAAGGCAAGCTCAATATAGAGAGTGGGTCTACTCGTAGCAGGCTCTATCTGGATTTTGCCCACAGAAATTCATATTCAAGCAGGATTGCTTCATAGCTGAGCTCTCTGCTTTAAATGTCATAGGTATCTACAATATTCTTATTATTGTAATCAGTGCTGGACTGATTTTTATAGTCTTAAAACGTTAAAGTAGTAGTTGTATAAATACTTTTGGTGAAAGTAATTGCATCTTCTCCCCTTAGCAAAGTAGGCAATGTTAAAACAAATTCATAGTGATGATTTTCTAACTATAGTTTTATACTTGTTCCTTGGACATAATATTCCTGAGGAAAAAAAACATTCAGTGAACTATTCCAGCAATTCTCTGATCTCAAGTGTAAATTAGATCTAGGGATAGATTCATAGGTATGGTATCAAAATATTAAGGACAATTTTGAGATATTTAAATAAATCAGGGAAGCATGCAAAAGAGACATTCTTGTAATAATGATGAATTCCTTCACACAGACTGGCTACATTTTCAAGTCATGATTTCTATATATCCTAAATAATTCTGTCCTAGAACAACCGACCTCAGAACTGACCAAGGAGAAACAACCCTAGTCTTAATCCTAAGTAGCAACCATGATCTGCTGCAAGATATAATTGTTGCAGAAATAAGAAGATACAATAACCGTAATGCTAATGTATATTTAAATACAAACAAAATGGGAAACCGCCAGCAGGCTCAAACAGAGTTACCTTTGATTACAAAAGGGGGGAACCTCTCAAAAATGAAACTAGAAGGAAAAAAATTAAGAAAGCCACATTTCTCCATAATCTCAAAAAACTAGAAAACCAGAAATCTAGAAAGTCTTCCGCAGAATAAAAATATGTCAGCCAAGTGTAGAAAGAGGCCAGCCTTTCTAGCAGTATGCATGAAGCTATGAAAATTTAGAGGCAAGGAAAGGAAACAAGGAGAAATTGATAGGAGAAACATGCAAAGACTGGCTTCTGGAATTCTTTCTAACTTCTTCACCAGCAGTGGCCATAGAAAGTGTCTATTATTTATTCCATGTTACAAGATGGTGTGTGTGTGTGTGTGTGTGTGTTTCTGCTGTTCTTGGATTGCAATATTGCATATTTCTATGTATGTTTGCTTTGGGATGGACTGTAGAGTTTCAGTTCTGGGTTACATGACCAAGAAGAAGCAGCTACCCAATTTCCAAGTAGGATTTTTTTTTTCCTGGGATGTATTTCTCCACATCTCTAGCTGGATCCAGCTCGTTTTCAAGCACATTTTTTTCTTCTGCTATAATTTTTTTTTTCACCATAGCACATTTTAACCCATTCTGTTCATCTTCTGGAGAGTTATGCTGTGGACAGGTGGATGGACAGACAAGTTCAAACCTTTACATAACTTCATCTAACATTCCATTGGCTTGGAACAGACAGAAAATGTGCAATGAGATAAGGAGAAAGAAGAGGAAGCATTTAAAAGGTATATGACAAAAAAAGGGAAGGGGGGAAAATAAGATGATCTTTAGATGTATCTGAAGCAGAAACAAAACAAAACTAGGAAGGCAGTCAAACATTAAATGATAAAGGAAGGAAATATATCCTCAGAGAGGACATGGTAATTACCAAGAAGCTGAATGAATTCTTTGTCTCTGTGTTTACAGATGCTTGAACAGAAGCCGCTAAATTTTAGCAAAAAAAAAAAAAAGCATAGCAGAAACTAGCAAATTCAATGACCTGCACATTCTAAAAGAAATGAATATGCCAGCCAAGTGGACAAATATAATAGGAAATAATCAAGCAAGCACAGAGGTTAAAGGGCAGATAGATACCTGAGTCTGGACTGACTTTTTTCAAGGAGAAAGCAACCAAATATCTGAACTGCAGTAAGAAGAGAAAATATTATAGAACAATTTGAGAGGTTACATTGCATAATGATGAGAGCTAATTAAAAACTCAAAATATAAAATTTGAGCGATTATGTGTAAAGGATCAGATAAGAGGACATCCTGCAGATTATAGGCCAATTAGTTTAACATCTATTTTCTGAAAATGGGTACAGTTGTTTTTTTTTAAAAAAAATGAACAACCTATAATATGGAGGAACAAGCCTTGTTAAAGAATTGGCAAAGATATATCCTGCTTTTTTCAACAGGATGGAAGTGACCTGTCAACACTTAGATTTTCAAAAGGTTTTTCACAAAAATTACTTGTCAATAGTTGCTGCCTTTTTAAAAACTGGTTTTAGAAGAGCAAAGGATACAATAAAATGGACACATTTCTAAATGGAGGATAATAAACTGAGTCTCTCAAAGATTTGAGTTTTTAACTTATTCAGAACAGTTCTTGATTTAGGGTGAGCTGTCTAAATTTGTGGGCGATACTAAACCATTCAGAGTGGTAAAATACAAGAGTGTCTATAAAAAGTTCCAGAAGGATTTCATTAAACTGGGGAAATGGTTAGCTAAATGGCAAATGCACTTTCATTTGCATAATTGTAAAACGAAGCATGCTGGGGCAAAAAAAAACAAAAAACCCCAACCCTAAATTCACCTGCACATGGCTGGAACCTAAGCTTTCTACATTTCACTAGAAAAAACATCTACAGCATGCACTGCTCATCTGGGTACAGTTCTATCACCACAAAGAAAAATGATACAATTAAGCTGGAAAAGGTGAAAAGGAATACTATCAAAATTAGGGGACCCATATCACTTCTCTTCTGTAAAAGGGTTTGTTAGTCCTCGATTTGTAAAAAGATGACCGAAGAGGGATGTATTTGAGGTTTAGTTATGCATAGTGTGGAAAAAATGGACAGGGAGAAATTATTTTCCTCTCTTAAAACAGCAGTACCACAATCCAAAAAGTTAATTTGGAAGATTTAAAACAGATGAACGGAGACACTTTACACACCACATAATTCTGAGAAATGTATGTCCACAAGATGTGGGAAGAACCATTAATTTGGATGACTTTAAAAAGAGATAAAGCAGGGGTGTCCAACTTTGACAACTTTAAGACTTGTGGACTTCAACTCTCAGAATTCCCCAGCCAAGATTTGATATTCCTGGAGTAGAAGAATACTTGAAGGACAGGTCTTTTCAGAGGCATCTGGTTAGCAGGATGAGAACCAAAAGGTTGTTATATTCTAGGGAAAATGTATTTGCCAGCATCAACGCTCTCCACAATATACAACCTAAAGAATGCATTATAAGACATTCACTTAATTCAAGAACTGGGCCGAAGTATTTGGTTATCATTATTCATCTGTTTGAGGAGCAGCACAAAGACTTTGGGGATAATTATCTGACAGTGCCAATTTGCCCATTTTCCAGTAAATGCAGAATTCTGCTAGGTTGCCAGTTGCAGTTTGTTTATATGACAGCGAGATTTTGATTTAGTAAATAAAGAAAGGAGCACATTTCTATAGTCTCATATTATAGTCTCATTGTCGCTAAATGAATTAATAGAATTCAATTATACACGCTCCCCCAAAAAAACCCCACAGTTTATGTCCCTGAGATTCCTGGAGTTATCTGGCCCCACCACTATTCAATTTCTGCAATTATAAGGACATAACAGTGTTCTGCAATATGCCAAGTTCCAGTGTCATGTGCTTAAAGGTTTTTCAGATACCAAATTAGTGTGGAGAAATATCCTCTCAAAGGGAAAGAATTTAGAAATAAATCATTTTATAGTATTGCTTAAAGTTACATTAACTGAAGAGCTACTTTTACAGATCTTCCAATTGAAAAAAAAATGTCCCCAGAACTGCCAATTGTTATGTGCTTTTCACTGACTTACTATGACATCTTCAGCAGTTCATTAGTTTCAGGCTTCCATACACCTCTCACCAACTGTTCAAAGTTGGATATTAGACCGCCACCAGCTCCTGTAATTCAATACAAATTATTACATGCTTAAATTGGTTCAAAAGATCTTAGACACTCAATCCCACTTCTAGTGAGGACAACTGCAAATCCATCACATTACTTTCAGAGGCACAAGATAGGGCCCTTTAAGTTATAGGAAGAAATGAAATGACCTATTTTACAGTTATTGAAATTGGATCCTCAAATTGAGACTCTTTAGAAAGAATCCTATTTTGAGATGGAAAGGTTTAATCTTTGTTAGAAAAAAAAATGGAAGCAGCAGCTTTACTCTGAAGTCTAGAATCTGTAATGGCCTTATACTGTAAGAAATCAGTAAACTTTAAAATTAGACAGGGCTATATCTCACTTGGTGCAAATGAGGAGAACTAATTGGTTATAACATGAGACCAATGTGCAAAAAATAAGAACTTGAAAGGAGGCTGCAGAAGGACTGAATTTTTCTCAACCCTGTTATAATCCAATAGGCAAAACAGGTCAACAGGCTATTTTATGTCATGGAGCCCATTCCCAATGGACACCATCATCACCCTTTTCTTTCCCAGATTTCGTTTTCAATGGGAAAAAAATTGGGACTTCCCAGTACAAAAACAATCCATCCAGCCCAATTTTGCACCCAATACAGTATAAATCCTCCTTGTGATCAGCTTACCAAATGCAACTACCAGGCTGGCCTGTATCCTAATCCTACATGGCCCCATTTGGTTAGAGAACACAGTAATGAGTAGAAATTGCTTCAGACAGGAAGCTTTAGCACAGTGGTTCTCAACCTGTGGGTCGGGACCCCATTTGGGGTCGATCGACCATTTCATTGGGGTCGCCAAGCAAGGCTGTCCGCCATTTTTTTTGTCTGCCATTTTTTTTGTCCGCCATTTTTTTCCGGCGGGTGCCTTACCTCCCTTGGGCTGGGCCAGCTGGTGGTCGGCCTGCTCCGTCTCTGCCGCTTGCCAGCTACGCCTCGGCCGGCGCAGGGGGTGGAACCACGCATGCGTGGCGCTCCCGGGCAGGGAAAGTCCTCGACTTACGACAGGTTGGGTAGTCCTCGACTTACAACCGGTTTAGTCCTCAACTTACGACCGATTTAGTCCTCGACTTACGACCGGTTTAGTCCTCGACTTACGACCGGTTGGGGTCACGGCATTAAAAAGGTTGAGAACCACTGCTTTAGCAGATATAGTATTTGGAGAACTATCCTCAGTTCCTCTAAGGAAGTCAGAAATGGATAGATGTAAAATGCATCTATTACTGAAGAACTTTGAATCTAGTGTGCCCAGATTGTGTAAGAAGGACTGTTTTTGGAAAGATGCTTGTATACTTGACATCAGAGGCCATAAACACACACACATACACACATACACACATACACACAATGCTATATATTATTTTAATTATACCTTCATTTATATGCTATGCTCGCTTTTTTGTTGCAATTGTTTTAAAGCAACCAAAATTTACTTTAAAAAAAAATAGCTTAACACATGTAGTATCCTCACATACAAGTTAATTTTACACACATTTACTAGGCAGAACTTTCTGCTGAACATTAAACACAAAGGCATAACACCAGATATGTGAAAAGGCTCGTGGCTTTAAGTTCTTCAATTTATTTATATTCAGATCTAGATGTGAATTAAAATGTATATGAAAAAGATAAAAAGAAAATTAAGAAAAGGGATTTAATCAAATTAGAAGACATAAGGAAACTATCCACCATTAACTGAAAGGAAAATAAGACAATTTGGGGGGGGGAGCAAACTGTAAAGCTGGATTTGAGATAGAGAAAACTTGTTACTATAGGTCAGCAATGTTAACCATTGCAGCAGATTTTATCAAAAGGCTATGAAATAGCACCATAAAACTAAGACTGCATCTCTGGACATGTTGATGCTTCCTATAAAGGGAATTTATTTCTAATTAGCCATTTTCAGAGGGCTGAGAAGCC